TTACAGAAAAGTTGAGAGAATATTTTTTTCAAATCCGTGTTCAATCACTTTAAATACTATTCGTATAGAAATTTTAGAAATTTAAAAAAATATTTTTTTTCAATAGAATATTGTTTAACTATAGTTGCATTGGAGAATGCAAATTCAATATACAAAGAATTATGATGCGAAATTTTAGGAACTTGGAAATGTTCAGACAAATGTTAACTCAAAAGTTCAGAATCTTATCTCCATAAACATCAAAAAAGTAAAAACAATATTTTAGATTACTCGTTTATTACAAACAGTGGGTGTTGAAGGAAAAGAGTTTTTTTTGTTCTTAACTCTCCCGTATATCACATTTTGTTTTTATTCATATAGGACTATGTTTCCATGTTTAAACTTTTAAAATATATTTTTGATATATAATTTAAGTGTAAAGAATATAGTTTTCTTTTTAAAGAATATTGTTTGACCATATTTGCACCGTAGAATGCAAATTCAATATACAAGCTAATGATAATGCGAAATTTTAAAAACTTTGAAATGTCCAGAAAAAATGTTAACTCAAAAGATGACTCTATCGGACTACTAATTAAAATATATTTCTTCAAGTTTTATGGTTCGTGAGGATAACAAATTAGTAAATAAATGTTACTATCGGTTTTCCTCATTGAATGCCTTATTGGCAAGTATAACTATTAAAGTTAGAACTTAAGTACCCATTAGAGTGTTACTAACATGAATATAAGTTTTATAGTGGCTGTGCAGTTATTAACTTACTCTCTTGCTTTGTAGATTGAATAGAAAATCATTTTGACAATGTAATGGTAATAACATGGCTACCGCGAGTAGTCCATACAACTCAACAGAAGAGACTACGAATGCTAACAGGGCGTGTCGCCTTCTGCTTGGTCCCTGTACCGATCAACTTAGAGATGTTCTACGCAAAAAGGTGCCACCGCCTACATTTGCCGCAGAAATTATAAAACCAAAGCATAATCTACCGAGATTAACTCCACAGCAACGAGATCTAATTTTGCCAAGGAATGGGTCCTACTCTGGAAATTATGATGACTTTGATATTTCACTATTGTACATTCTTTTAAGAAATATATGCAAAATTACACCTCATAAAAATAGCTGGGGGAAAGTCCCAGATGTAACTGATGTATGCCTTTCTGCAAATATCGAAAGGATACGAATGGCTCGAAATAGCACTGTCCACTCTGCAAGACCTTCCCTCACAAACTTTGAATTTAATGATATTTGGACGTCAGTTCGAGTTGCAGTAGTAGAAATCGATACATTCCTTTCAAATGGAAATTTTTATGAGAAGAAAGTTGACATTTTGAGACACACAACAATGGACCCTATCCAAGACAAGCATTACAGAGACCAACTGGCAAAACAATATGCCGAGGATCAAACTACCAAAGAATGTTTTCGCACACTTCAGGGTATGCATAGATAAACCTGAAATATACGTTTAACATTAAAAAAAACCGCATGTATAATACACAAAAATCAAATAAACAGAAATAATTTTCTATCTACAGTATCTTTTACGCATCAAACATCAATCACTACCATATTGTTGATTGAAAAGAGAAAGAAAATCTTTCCAGATCACAATTTTTTTTCTACAATTTTATTTTTCTTAGAAATAACAATGTGGCGATTGTTTTGTAAGAAGTACTATTAGTCTAATTTTCAAATTGTTTGTTGATTTTTTTAAAGAAAACTTTGAAAGTAATCTGAAAGAAACAGCGGACAGGATAAATCTCCTCGAGGGTTAGTTGTAAATGTTTCTTTTCAAATTTTTGTCCTCTATTTGATACACAGATATACTTCTGAATTATCACTAAATGATTACTAGAGCTATACATGTACATTTATTTCATTTTTAGAAAACATTGGAAGTGATCTGAGAGAAAAAGAAAACAGGATAAGTCTCCTCGAGGGTAAGTCGTACATCATTTTAGAATGTCACTAAAAAGGTATCAAAAGATTGTTTGCTAAATGAAGAAAATCTTAAAAAGGATTTCACGGATAATGTGAAGAGCATGAATGCAGACAATGTAAAAAAAGAAGTGAAAATTGAAGAGTTTAAGCATACATTCAAATATAACATCACATAATTGTTATAATTTCTATTGGCTGCTTCATAATTGCAGGAAAATGTTGCATCAAGTTAATTTTTTATCAATATTAATGCAAACACGTTTTGTTATAAAATGTATGTTTGAATAAGTTTTAACTGGATGCTTTACATTTTCAATCAAGGTTGCTCAATAATGCACCACAAAAGGAAAAAAGACATAGTTTTATGTTGATTCCGCTACTTTGATTGTTACTTACATACTTACATAAAGAAGGAATATTTTTTTTGAAATACGTACCTGCCAAGATATTTGTTTCTCGTAAAATTATTTTATCAAGACGATTTAGCCTAAATTTTAAAAGGGTATTGTTTTTCTTCATACATAGAATCCTGTTCCTAGTTCTAATTGTGTGTACAATTTGTTTAATATAATGATATGATATCGACCAGTTATTATGCTCAAAGGTTCAATAAAAGCAATTCAAATTATGAGCAGAGAAGTTCAAACTTCTGAGAGTATCGTAATCATTGTGTTTACAATGTATATTCATATTCTCTTTTCTTTCATGGGTTCTAGCATCCGCTCAAAGCAATAAAGAAAATGTATTGTATTCTATATATCGAAGCAAAAGCAGAAACATCAGCTTGAAAACTTAACAAGCAATTATTTGCGAGATTGCCCGATCTTCAGCAACGCTCATAGAAATAAAGGGAATTGATGTTATGTAATTCGTGTTGATTATTATGAACTAAAATTACACAATGTTCCTTTTTTCTTTTCTGCAGAGACTCAAACAACATTAAAGACCAGATTACACATATCATCCGAACTACAGAAGCAAATTCAAGATGATTTAAAAGAAGATTTACAGAGGCACAAATCAACTTGCATACCGGAAAACGTCAGAGGTAATTTAATTCTTAAACGGGTTAGTTTGCACAAGAGTTTCATGGGCAACAACGCTCAATTAATATAGCTCAACAGTAGTTTTGTTTAACACAGCTGAGCCAAGGGCTCAAGGGAGCTTTTCTGATTAAAATTTGTCCATGCTTTTTCGTCGTTGGCGTTGCCATTGTTGTCGTCGCTGTAAACTCTCACAATTTAATCTTCTCCAGGACAACTACTGGGCCAGTTTCAACCAAATATTGCATAGAGTATACTTGGGTAAAGCGGATTAAATTTTTTTAATGAAGGACCAAACCCTACTACAAGGAAAGACAATAATGAAAAGCTAAAAATGGCATCATTGAAAAAAAAATCCTTTTAAGAACCAATGGACCAGGAAAGATGAAACTCGTGTTGAATCGTTGTCAGGTAGAGTCGACTCAAGTTTGCTCAGAACATTACTTACAGAGGCTATTAGGATGGGACCTCAATGGACGATCAAATTTTTACGTTGGAATATATAGAAAAACTTCAAAAATCTTCTTAACAAGAACAGCAAAATTGGACCTATTAAAATGAAAGCATTCTAATGTGGTGTAGAATCAACTTTGTTCAAATCATGACCCCCAGGGGTAGGGTGAAGCCACAATGAAAATTTAACTTGCAGGGGACAATGTCACAACAACCCTGTTAAGTTTGATTTTGAACCGAATTTGTCTAAGTAATTACTTGCCTTGAGTTGTTCAGAGTTGGAGTCACATGGATGATGCTCAATAATCATAAACATCTTCATGAAAATAACCATGTTAATGTTTTGGTGCAGATTAATACGATAACGTTACTTGCATGGATGTTTCATCTAAGAATGGAAGCTTCCAAACTTCATTCAAATGTTGGAACTGACCTTACGATTCCGGAAAATTGGACAGAGTTAAAATGTTAAACGATTGTTTATTGGGTTGATATTGCATTACAAACTCGCATGAATGATACATCTAGGAATTTGTACCAAAAGAAAGTTTCCATTGATGAATTTGATCTCTATATCTCTTGAAATCAACGGAAAAAGAGTTTGGAACAAGTCCTTTCTACATCAAACCTTTATCAATGTTGTATTTAAGGTTTAAGAAAGCAAGCCTATCCGTTTGTTTGAGAGCTTGCCTTTCTTGTAAATAACATTTTCTAGATGTCAGATGATTTTTTTTAAAAAACTACAGTTCTTTGCACATTTTAAATTTGGTTCTTTCTTTATTTACTGTTTAATTTTATAAAAGTTCACAAACAAGATTTCTAGGTTGAAAGTTTACGTTACACGCATATTAATTAAGAATGAAAAGAAGTCTTTCGCAGCTCAAAGCTGTACACTACTCGTAAAAAGGCATAGTCCGCCATATTTCCTGTTCAACAACACTGACCATACAACCCATATATAAAGGTTGTTCTCCAATCCATCATTAGTTCAATGAATTTTTCCAATGAGAGTATTACGTACATCCAACCAGAGATTAGGGTTACTCTGTAACAATGAGATTATCAAATTTAACGTATTTTTTTTCAAAATCATGACAAAAGCATAATGAAAAATACATTTCAATACATTTTTTACAAACAGAAAATGCACATTAAAACAAGGGAAAAAACGTCGAATATTACCCCTTGCCTGGAACTAGTCTTCAGTGTGTTTTGAGTGTGCAATCGTTTTCCTGTCCACCACCAAATCTCCACAATATATATATATATATATATATATATATATATATATATATATATATATATATATATATATATATATATATATATATATATATATATATATATCAAGGCGCATTAATTCAAATTTGCCTATTTTATGAGAAAGGGCTCAAACTATATATCCTGAGGACAGATGAAACTAGGAATTTTTACTAAAAAAATTTTTCCATTGATGAATTTGACCTCCATTTCTCATGAAATTAAACAGAAAAAGAATTTGGAACAAGTCATTTCTACACAAACGTTTATTAATGTTGTATTTAATGTTTAAGAAAGCAAGCCTATTCGTTTGTTTGAGAGCTTGCCTTTCTTGTAAATAACATTTTCTAGATGAAAGATTATTTTTTTATTTTTGAAAATTACAGTTCTTTTCACATTTTAAATTTTGTTCTTTCTTTATTTACTGTTTAATATTATATAAGCTCACAAACAAGACTTCAAGGTCAAAATTTTACGTTACACGCATATTAATTCAGAATCAAAAGAAGTCTTTCACAGCTTAAAGCTGAACACTACTCGTAAAGAGGCATAGTCCGCCATATTTCCTGTTAACTCTCCCTAGCAATATATAAGGAGCAGATCGCTCATCAGTTCAATGAATCCAATGAATGTAGACGTACATCCATCACAGCGTGCTACTCTGTAGCAATGAGATTATCGAATTTAACGTATTTTTTCCCAAAACATGACAAAAGCTTCATGAAAAATACAGGTCAATACATTATTTACAAACAGAAAATGCACATAAAAACAAGGGGAAAAGCAAAAATCTAAGACCCCAAAGAAGTACTACATGTCGGCCACGAGTTTCGAGTGTGCAATCGGGTGTAACGAAATCTCACGGTTTATATATATATGCCTATTGGACGTCTGACTTTTACAGTGCGCTATTTATAGGCCTAAGGGCTCCTTTAAGGATATAAATACAAATTTAAAAACGGAAATGGGTTTTTATATATATTGTATATATTTTTATATATATATATATATATAATATATATACACAATATATATATATATATAATATATAATATACATATATATATTAAATTAGACAAGGATTTTGATTACGAACAATTTTTTCCGTTATACAACTTCAAAGATCAGGTCAAAAAGTGCCTCTCTAGAAATTTATGACAAGTGCATAAGTTTTGATGCAAACAAAAATGGATTGGTAATCAAAATAAAAAAAACTGTTACAATAAAAATTATCTAAAATACTAACAATTATTTATTAAACAGTCAAGAGATAGATTTGTGACGAACAAAAGCCAGGTCAAAATGCCGTAGAAATTTATCGATGCATACACTTTTTCTTCAGTTTGATCTCATCCAATCAAAACACAAGAAATCAATGAACAAAATCAATATCGGAGTTATAGGCCATTGTTCACTACGTTGAAAAACTGCTTACGGGATCAGGGCCAAATAAAATTCCCTGTATCAGGTGATGAACAAAAAACACAGACGATATGATAAAGTATCTAAATTATGGCCTAAAATTAGTATGAAAAACATCAGTCAAACAATAAGCAGTATAGTTTAATACTTATGCACGTCGCCCTCATGGCGCGGTTGTAGAACGTTAGCTCTAGAGTTGGAGTAAGAACGTGATCCTTACGTCGCAGGTTCGAATCCCGCCGTGGGATGTGAAGACCCGTCCTTCTGTTGAAACTTATTATATCGAAGTCTCGTGTCGCAGGTGATGATTGATTGATTGATTGTATATTGTTTAAAGGATGTGTCAATCAAACCCGCCAAAACATTTGAAATTTTAATATTTTTCATATGAAATAAGATTTTTAATTAATTTTTGTGTGAAATGCTATTAAGATATATAAGTCGTAATATTATAGAGAAAATAATAACTTCAAATCTGTGTCCAAGTACCTTTAAAGAGCTTAACTTTATATATAAAACGCTTCATTGTTTGTAACAAAATAAATTTTCAAATGACATAAAATAAACTTACTTCCATTTAGACACTTTCAATATATCAAAAATTGGATATTTTTTATGGACTGAATTGATATAAAATATATTGTTTAACGTTTATGCTGTTGAATTTTTGAAAAGTCATTGGATTTCAAATAAAAAAGTTCCGGTGAAGGGCTTCAAATTTACATTTACACCACTTCAGGGCCATTAAGCAGTACTTAGAGATTCATACAACTATCGTGCTCAGGTATATGATACACGTGAAACGGTACGATATAGTATCTAACATTTCAACGTTTTTAACAATAATTGGCAAAACGATCTGAATTTGAAATAAAAAAATGATTGTACTTATGAATTCCGCAATTCTTGGCGAATTTAAACAAAAAAAAAATCAAATATTTTTACGTCGGGTATGTGAACGTATACATCAAGACCCGGTCCTTCAAACTTATACGATAGGTATCGTGCGCGATTATATATGCACAAAATCCCGCACTGCTCATATATAATGCCTACATAGAACAATTTGCAGCTTTCAATATGATTGCAATTGTATAGCGTTCCAAATGCGTGAAATTTTTTTCACTCATACGTTAAACAACGTCCAACCGTACAAATAAAATAATGCTTACAAACACAACGACTTCATTGTTTGTAATTGAAACAAAAAATACATTAGAGATTCACACATTATTGTAGGCTCTTTCTCAATCACGAAAGCTACAAGTAGACTGAACAAAATGTGTTTCAAATAATTGGCAAATTCTGAAATTGAATAAAAAAAAAATGATTGTAACTATAGATAAAAAATTCCTTAATTCTTTCGGACAGTTAATTTACTTAAAGAAAAAAAATCAATTCTGTTGTGTCTCTACAATTAGTAAGTTAGTAAGGAAATACCGGTATTTTATTATAGTGACATGTATTTAGACAACAAATAGCCAGCAATATAAACGTATGTGCATCACACCCGGACCATTGGACATATATGTCACCTTATTATATGTACAGTATTTTTATTATCATATAATCACTACATGTATAATCTTGAGATTGGAATAAAAAGGGAATCAAAACAATGTTTTTAGCCTTTAATTGCAGCTGTCGGTTATGGGATTGCAAATGTCTTAAAAATGATTAATAAGGTTAAGCAAAGAGTCTGTGATATTAAAAATGATATTAATGTGTTTTATATTTTATGTCCCCAAATTTCTCTTTTTCCAGATCAACATAAAAGAACTTTGCACAAATGGAGGGAAAGCGTTTTCTTTGAAATATCCTCCTTTAAAAGCATGAAAGATTTTTTTCTTTCCAATCAAATTGTTGCTGTAATTGGATCTCCTGGGTCTGGGAAAACTGCATTAATCCGCCACATCGCTTTACAGCTGGAGTCCAAATATCAGATTGTTCCAATCTCCAAACCTGAGGATATCATCAACTTTGGTGACGTACACAGACCGCAAATATTTGTCATAGATGATGTTTTAGGCGTGTTTACCTTAGAGAGAAGTTTGTTATCAGATTTAGAAAGACATAGAGAACAAATCGAAAATGTTCTAGATAAGCAATCAAAGAGGTCAAAGTTATTTATGTCCTGTAGATTAGCAGTGTACAATGAGGCAAAGGATTTAGATGTAGTGTTTTTTGAAGAGGATAACATCCTTAACTTAAATAATGAAGATAACACTCTTACTTTGGAAGATCAAAAAGGTATATTTGAATCTCACTTAATGAATAAAGGGATTTCATATAATCTCGACTTAAACTTTCTGCATGAAAAAGGAGAGTTCATGTTTCCACTTCTTTGTCAAATGTTTAGCAGCGATACATTCATTAGAGAATATAGATCAGATTTTTTTAAATATCCGTATAAATGTTTGCTTTTAGAAATAGAAAAAATGAAAACAAGAAATAAGCTGCAATATTCTTCCATGGTTCTCTGTATGTTGAACAACAACAGCCTATCTGAAGAAATGTTATTAGATAGTAGAATGTTCAATCTAGTGCGCAGTTCTTGCAAAGTTAAAGGATGTCCTCAATTCTGGGAAATAATTCAGGAATTGTCACACCTAAGAGGTACATATATCACGGAAAACGATCAAAGATATACTTTTATCCATGATTTAATATTTGAAGTTGTTGCCTTTCATTATGGCCAGCAATTTCCTGACCAAATTATAGATCATATGAACAGTAATTTCATTGCAAACAGAGTTGTTTTAGAAAACACAGACAATGAAAACGACCTCTGTATTAAAATCAGAAAGGCACAGTATGAACATCTTGCAAAAAGATTATACGAGGATGTAAAGAAAGGAAAATTACACGATGTGTTTCTAAATAAAGCATTGACTGATAAAGACTTTCAAAAGCAGTTCATAAGCATTTTGGCACCTTACAATGATGTCAAGAAATATTTCTTATTACCAAGGGAAGAATGTTTCGACAGTGTTATTCTTGATTCACAAAAAGAAAATGAAAAAGATGTCGAGGAAACAGTTGGACAAAGGGAGTATGAAAGACAAAATCTTCTACTTGACCTCAAATGTATTGGCGGAAAGAATATTTATGAAATACGCGCTATCAGTTTCATTGTTTATTATGGTCACCTCGATATACTGAAATTTATAATTAACTTGGTGGGTAGGCATGATCAGCACAAAGACATTGTTTTTGGATCTACACAGGAAGAACAAGTTAGATTACTGGTTTTAGCATGTTTTGATGGAAATTTAGACATGGTAAAATTTTTGGTAAATAATTTTGGAAAGACAATTATTAACAGCATGCCTGTAGTAGATCTCGATATGTCAGACAATCAACACAGATTCATAACTCCAGTGATTGCTGCTTGCTTGAAAATGAAACATGATGTTGTAAAATATTTAGTTAATAATGGAGCAAATTTAAATATCACAAAAAGTTTTTACCCAGCTTTGTGGACTCCAACTAGAATTGGTGATCTCAAAACAATAATAAACTTACTTGAATATGGTGCTGATTGTAACATATGTGATGGAATGGGAAATTCTCCTCTGTACGTTGCGTCAGAATTTGGTTACTTGGATGTCGTTGAAAAACTTATTGAACATGGTGCTAACGTCAATCAATGTACTAATTTTGGTTCTTCACCTCTATTAATAGCGTCATCGAAAGGCCATCTTCCTGTTGTTGAAAAACTCATTCAGAACAATGCCGACATCAATAAGTGTGATATACACAACCAGACATCTCTACATTTAGCATCTCAAAATGGACATTTGTCAGTTGTAGAAATATTACTACGGAACGGTGCTGAATGTAATAGAGGTGACAAAAATCAAATAACACCTTTACACAGAGCATCATATAAAGGTCATCTTCCTGTTGTAGAAAAACTTATTGAACATGGTGCCGACATCAACAAATGTGATAATAAAGGTCGGTCATCTCTGCATTTTGCATCACAAAATGGTCATCTTCCTGTTGTAGAAAAACTTATTGAACATGGTGCCGACATCAACAAGTGTGACAAAGAAGGTTGGTCATCTCTGTTTTGTGCGTCTGTAAATGGTCATCTTCCTGTTGTAGAAAAACTTATTGAACATGGTGCCGACATCAACAGTTGTGATAATGAGGGTCGGTCATCTCTGTATGTAGCTTCACAAGAAGGTCATTTTCCTGTCGTAAAAAATCTTATTGAACATGGTGCCGACATCAACAACTGTGATGGGAAAGGTTGGTCTTCTCTGCATTTGGCATCAAAAAATGGCCATCTACCTGTTGTAGAAAAACTTATTGAACATGGTGCCGACATCAACAATTGTGATAATGAAGGTATGTCATCTCTGCATTTTGCATCACAAAATGGACATCTCCCTGTTGTTGAAAAACTTATTGAACATGGTGCTGACATCAACAAGTGTGATAATGAAGGTCAGTCATCTCTGCATTTGGCACAAAAAAATGGTCATTTTCCAGTTGCAGAAAAACTTATTGAAAATGGTGCCGATATCAACTATTGTGATAATGGAGGTTGGTCATCTCTGCATTTTGCATCATTTGGTCATCTTCCTGTAGTTGAAAAACTTATTAAAAATGGTGCCGACATCAACTGTTGTGATAAAAAAGATAGGTCATCTCTGCATTTTGCATTGCGCGATGGAAGTCTCCCTGTTGTAGAAAAACTTACTGAACATGGTGCCGACATACACAAGTGTGATAATGAAGGTCGGTCATCTCTGCATTCGGCATCACAAGGTGGACATTTGTCTGTTGTTGAAAAACTTATTGAACATGGTGCCGACATCAACAAGTGTGATAATGAAGATCAGTCATCTTTGTATTTAGTATCTCAAAAAGGGCTTCTGAATATTGTTGAAAAACTTATTGAACATGGTGCCGAAATCAACAGTTGTAATCAATATGGACGGTCACCTCTATTCATAGCATCTTCGGAAGGCCATCTTCCTGTTGTTGAGAAACTCATTCAGAACAATGCTGACATCAACAAATGTGATATTGAAGGTCGGTCATCTCTGCATTAGAGCATCACAAAATGGACATCTTCCTGTCGTAGAAAAACTAATTGAACATGGTGCCGACATCAACAAATGTGATGAACCTTTACAAGGTCGGTCATCTCTGCATTATTGAACATGGTGCTAATATCCACCATTATGATAATGAAGGTAGGTCATCTCTTGATTTTGCCTGTTGTTGTTGAAAAACTTATTGAGCATGGAGCCGACATCAACAAATGTGAAAATGATGGACGGTCATCTGCATGCATTTTGCATCACAAAAGGACATCTTCTCTGTTGTAGAAAAACTTAATTGAACATGGTGCCGACATCAACAAATGTGATAATAGTCGGTCTTCTGGTCAGGTCATTATCTCTGCATTAATTGAGCATCATTCAACATTTGGATCATCTTCCTGTTGTAGAAAAACTTATTGAACATGGTGCCGACATCAACAAGTGTGATAATGAAGGTTGGTCATCTCTGTTTTGTGCGTCTGTAAATGGTCATCTTCCTGTTGTAGAAAAACTTATTGAACATGGTGCCGACATCAACAAGTGTGATAAAAAGGTAACATCTCTGCATTTAGCATCATATAAAGGTCATCTTCCTGTTGTAGAAAAACTTATTGAACATGGTGCCGACATCAACAAGTGTGATAATGAAGGTTGGTCATCTCTGCATTTTGCATCACAAGGTGGACATCTCCCTGTTGTTGAAAAACTTATTGAACATGGTGCCGACATCAACAAATGTGATAATGAAGGTTGGTCATCTCTGCATTTTGCATCACAAAATGGACATCTTCCTGTTGTAGAAAAACTAATTGAACATGGTGCCGACATCAACAAATGTGATAATGACAGTCAGTCATCTCTGCATTTAGCATCGCAAAATGGTCATTTACCTGTAGTTGAAAAACTTACGGAACATGGTGCTGACATCAACAAATGTGATAATGAAGGTCAAATCATCTCTGCATTTGGCATCACAGAAAGGCCATCTTCCTGTTGTTGAAAAACTTATTGAACATGGTGCCGACATCAACAAATGTGATAATGAAGGACAGTCATCTCTGCATTTGGCATCACACAATGGCCATCTCTCTGTTGTAGAAAAACTTATTGAACATGGTGCCGATATCAACAAATGTGATAATGAAGGTCTGTCATCTCTGCATTATGCATCATTTAAAGGACATCTTCCTGTAGTAGAAAAACTAATTGAACATGGTGCCGATATCAACAAATGTGATAATGAAGGTCGGTCATCTCTGCATTTTGCATCAGGAAATGGTCATTTTTTTGTTGTTGAAAAACTAATTGAACATGGTGCCGACATCAACAAGTGTGATAATGGAAGTTGTTCATCTTTGCATTTTGCATCACACAATGGATATCTCTCTGTTGTTGAAAAACTTATTGAACATGGTGCCGACATCAACAAGTGTGATAACGAAGGTCGGTCATCTGTGCATTTTGCATCACAAGATGGACATCTACCTGTAGTTGAAAAACTTATTGAACATGGTGCCGACATCAACAAATGTGATATACACGACCAGTCATCTCTACATTTAGCATCACAAAATGGCCATTTATCCGCTGTAGAAACATTAATACGAAACGGTTCTGAATAATAAAAACTTAATTGAACATTTACAGGAGCATCGACAATGGTCAACTCCCTGTGATAAAACTTATTGAAGGTGCTGTCATCATTATGATAATTGCATCATCTCTTGATTTTGCATCACAATACGGACATCCCACTGTTGTTGAAAAACTTCTTGAACATGGTGCCGACATCAACAAGTGTGATAATGAAGGTTGGTCATCTCTGCATTTTGCATCACAAAATGGACATCTTCCTGTTGTAGAAAAACTAATTGAACATGGTGCCGACATCAACAAATGTGATAATGAAGGTCGGTCATCTCTGCATACAGCATCACAAAATGGACATCTTCCTGTTGTAGAAAAACTTATTGAACATGGTGCCGACATCAACAAATGTGATAATGAAGGTGTGTCATCTCTGCATTTTGCATCACGAAATGGACATCTCCCTGTTGTTGAAAAACTAATTGAACTTGGTGCAAACATCAACCAATTGTGATAAAGATCAAATCACCTCTGCATTTAGCATCAATACAAGGTCATCTTCCTGTTGTAGAAAAATTTATTGAACATGGTGCCGACATCAACAAATGTGATATTAAAGGTCGGTCACCTCTGCATTTTGCATCTTTAAAAGGTCATCTTCGTGTTGTAGAAAGTCTTATTGAACATGGTGCCGACATCAACAGTTGTGATAATGAAGGTCAAATTTGGCATCACAAGGTGGACTTTACATTGTTGCATTAATACATAAACTTCATGGCATCATCTTTCCTGTTGTTGAAAAACTTATTGAACATGGTGCCGACATCAACTTTTGTGATAATGAAGGTCGGTCATCTCTGCATTTTGCATCACACAATGGACATCTCTCTGTTGTAGAAAAACTTATTGAACATGGTGCCGACATCAACAAATGTGATAATGAAGGTCGGTCATCTCTGCATTTGGCATCACAAAGTGGACATCTCCGTGTTGTTGAAAAACTGATTGAACATGGTGCCAACATCAACCTCTGTGATAAAACATCTCTGCATTTTGCATCACAAAAGGGACATCTGCCTGTTGTAGAAAAACTTATTAAACATGGTGCCGACATCAACAAATGTGAGATGGAAGGACGGTCATCTCTGTTTTATGCATCACTAAAAGGTCATCTTCCTGTTGTTGAAAAACTTCTTGAACATGGTGCCGACATCAACAAATGTGATAATGAAGGTCGGTCATCTCTGCATTCTGCATCACAAAATGGACATCTTCCTGTTGTAGAAAAACTAATTGAACATGGTGCCGACATCAACAAATGTGATAATGAAGGTGTGTCATCTCTGCATTTTGCATCACAAGGTGGACATCTCCCTGTTGTTGAAGAACTTATTAAACATGATGCCGACATCAACTATTGTGATATTGAAGGACAGTCATCTCTGCATTTGGCATCACAAAGTGGTCATTTACCTGTTGTTGAAAAACTAATTGAACATGGTGCCGACATCAACAATTGTGATAATGAAGGTTGGTCATCTCTGCATATGGCATCACACAATGGACATCTCTCTGTTGTAGAAAAACTAATTGAACACGGTGCCGACATCAACCATTGTGATAATGACGGTCGGTCATCTCTGTTTTTTGCATCAAGCAATGGACATCTCTCTGTTGTAGAAAAACTTATTGAACATGGTGCCGACATCAACAAATGTGATAATGGAGGTTGGTCATCTCTGCATTTTGCATCGTGCGATGGAAATCTCCCTCTTGTTGAAAAACTTTTGGAACTTGGTGCCGACATCAACAAGTGTGATAATGAAGGTCGGTCATCTCTGCATTGGGCATCACACAATGGCCATCTCCCTATTGTAGAAAAACTAATTGAACATGGTGCCGACATCAACAAATGTGATAACGTAGGTCGGTCATCTGTGATTTTGCATTACACAAGGTGGACATCTTCCTGTTGTAGAAAAACTTATTGAACATGCCACTGAACCAATTTCAACCAAATTTGGCACAAAGCATCTATGGGTGAAGTGGAACAAAAATTGTGAATTTCATGATTCCTGCCCCACTGGGGCCTGAGGGGTTGGGCCAAAACAATTAAAATTAATGCAATCTTTAAAAAACTTCTTCTTTACTCCTGGACATCAAGCAGTCAAACTGTTTGCATGATTGTAATCAGCATTGAGTCCATTACCAAAATTGTGAAATTCATGGCCCTGGGGTCAGGGGTACTTGTGCTAGGGCGGGGCTAAAAAAGTATATAGTGAAAATGCATTATTTTTTTTAAAAATCTTCTTCTCTGCTCCTGGGTATTAAATAAACTAACTTAGTACATAGTTATGATGAGCAAGATGCCTCTACCAAAATTGTGAATTTTGTGGCCCCAGGGTCAGGGGTTCTGGGGGAAGGGGGGCCTATATTGATTATATAGTGAAAATACATGAATTCTTTGAAAATCTTCTTCTCTGCTCCTGGGTATTA